CCCCATCAATAGTGTGCGTCTTTGTAAAGTGCTTCAATGAAGACGCTCTTTCAACAAGTTTGAAGCGGTGATCGTCTTTTTTGTAGAGTTGATTGATATATTGTTTGAAATCTTTCAACTTGTCATCGACTGCTGCTCGCGGTGTGTTTGACACCTCCTTCAACCACTGACCCCAATCTTCAACCTTTTTCTTTCCCCAATCAACAGCCTTCTCGATTTTTTTTATCAGTGGTGCTGGTGTCGGTTTCAATATATTTCCTTTAGGTATTTCATGCGTAGGTATCGGTGTGTCTAGTAGAGAGCCACCTGAGTGATTCCAGACGAACACGATTTTTCGATATTGCTTCTGCGGCTTGGAAACCGCAGCACTACTTGCAGCTGCACTGCTTGTACTTGGTCTTGACTGAATGAGTCTGATAAGCTCAGCTTTTCGAAGTCTTGAATAGCCATGAAGGCCTTTATCTTTTGCGATTTTACGGAGTCGTGCAACAGTGTGTCTCTCCATTATGCAAATATGTATTCTGTAAAGATAGTTTTGATCTCAAAAAAAACTCTTTTTCATATTTTCTTTCTCATCTTTTCTTTAAAATATTTTTCCTCACTTGAATCGAGTGAGGAAAACCCACGTGTCAGACGTTTTACACGTTTACAATTTCATCAAGTGTATATCCATACGCATTAACCACGTTTCTGGCTAGCATCTCAGACATTCTTTTTATCTCTTCTTCCCACTCTTCATCTGTTGTTATACATCTTTCATCCTTAATAAACTCGATAAGATCAGCTTTTCGAAGTCTTGAATAGCCACAAAGGCCAAGATCTCTTGCATATAAATAAAGGGGACGAGCAAAAATTTTCTTTTTATATCCCACCTCTTTTGCACACTCCTCATCCGTTATTCCCGCATCGTTAATGAGCGTGATAAGCTCATCTTTTCGAAGGTCTGAATAGCCACGAAGACCTCTCTTCTTTGCAAATCCACGGAGTTGTACAACAGTCATAAACTTCATTTTCTGCACACCTGTCACGTATGGAAGAAGTTCCAAATA